CCGGGCCCGGAAGGGCCGGAGCCCGGGCCCCCGCGCCCCTATTGTCCAGCCAGCTGGAGCTCCGGCGGGCCTGGGCGGCTGCCTTTGCCGCCTTCCCGGCTGGGCGCGGAGCACCGAGAAAAGTTCCAGCCTTCCCCACCGGGCTGCAGCTGCCTGTTAACCCCCAGAGCGCTGCCGCGGCAGAGAGGCTGCTGGTGGGGGTCTCCAGCCACGCCGCTGACCTGGGGGCGCTGGGGAAGTTTGCCTGCGGGCCGGAAAGCCCTGCTAGGAGGCCAGGCTGGGGTTCTAGCAATTGAGGGGGTACGCCCAGCCCTGCTCAGAGAGCCCATGGCTCCTGGGAGGCTGCCCTGCCTGCTTACAAGTGGGCGGGGAGGAGTAGGGCAGCACAGGGCAGAGCAGAGAGAAGGAGATAGCAGGGCCCCAGGGTGCTAGAAATGGGTGTGGGTTCTGGCGAGTACTCCTGGATGCCGACGGAAGAGGCACGTGGGAGCTCCCGCTGGGAGAGAAAGGGTGATGGAGAGGAAGGGGCTGGCTGAGATGGGGGGCTGCCTCCTTCAAGGGAAGCCCAGTACTACGCCAAGGCTGAAGTTTAGAAATGGATCTGTGTCCCAGAAACACAGTGGCCGAGAAAACGCCAGGGAGGGTGGCAGGCCGCTCCCCTCCACTCCTACTATGCACCTCTGTTCGTAGACCTCCCAGTAGCGCCTTCCTCTCCGTGGTCTCTGCTGAGTCTCCTGGGTCCCTGTAGCCTTGAGTCCCTCTGTACATCCCCATGCTGCCTGTGAACCCCTGTTCTAGAGAGCCTGGGTTCTGCAGAGCCCTCAGGCTGTGTATGTGTGCACATGTGCAAGTGTCTGTGCTGGCCCTGTGTTGTGGGGCTCAGAGCTTGCCGGGGCCCGTCTGCCGTGTACTAGTCTGCCATTCAGCTGCCCTCTTCCTAAAATGACTGGCATTCAACAGATTCAACACCAGACATTAACTGCCACACCTGGCACATACCTGGTGGCTCTTGGCATCACCCTATCCAGTACTTTCAAGCCCCTCACCTGCCCCTTAGCAGGTGTTGACCTCAGCTTCCAAACCAGGGGCCTCGGAGTGGCACCCTGCACTGGGAGTGCTGTGCACAGTGCCTTTTGTGAAGCAACTGGTGTGTCCACCACACCCAGGCCAGCCCTCAGCTCACCCAGTTCCATAAAAGGAGCGAAGGGACAGAGCTTTTGCTGCACACAGCGCCTGCTGGGCCGGTGGCTCATTCCCCACTGCGGTGGTTCTGCCCAATCTGAGCGAGGGTACACATTGAGACAGACATTCGTACCCTGGTAGTGAGAGCATCGGGCATAGACCTCCGTATCCTGTATTCACAGTTAACTGTCAGGGGGCTCCAGTGCCCATCTGCATGTGAACCAGAGGGAAGTAGGGGGAGTCTCAGTGCCCTAGTCCCAAACAAAACTTTCCCGAGGCCTGGAGCAAGGAGAAGGCAGGGCAAGAGTGAGTCAAGGAGCAGGCTTGTCAGGAGCTGTGGTGGTGGCCCTGTAGGCACATGTGTGTGAGCTGCCACTGCAGTGGTCACACCCAGGCTGGGCTGGAACAGTCGGCCTTCTCTGCAAGCACAGCAGCTACGCATGTGCTTGTTGTTTTCGGCATTTTGGAAGGGGGAAGAGGTGTCCGCTCGCACTCAACATCAACTGGAAGCTGGCACGTTTGAGAAACAGCCCTCTTGTCCACTTCCCTGGGTGCTTTTGGGACAGATCAGCCCAACAAGTGGTCCCTGGCATCTGCTAACAATAAATGGCCAATGGGAAACAACTCAGGTCCGGCGTGAGCAAGAAATTCCACTGTAAATATGGGCCCGCCCTCCAGCCAGATTTGGGTAAGCAGTTTAGAGTGGACCAGAAGCTGTAACAATGAGTGAGTAATATCCTAAGAATTAGGATTTTAGGGCGTGGTTCCAGGTTTGGGGAGCAGTGGAAAATGTTCTACCGCCTCAGGAGATCTTGATTTGGAAACACTGCTTTTTGGAATCAAGAGCAAGAAGTAGTGTCTTGTGGTGGCGGCCCCACACAGACCCGCCAAGCAGCTCTTCAGAGCAGTGTGCAGTTTGCACATGGCCTTGGGTGAGGGGACGGGGAAGAAGTGGGAGAGCTGCACAAACTCCCCCTTGCCTCCCCAAGATGGACCGACCGGGAGCAGGTCTGGGGGCCTTCCGCATCCCTGAGGACACAGAGATAGAAACACTAGGAGACTGGCCCAGGGACAGAGTTCAAGTGTCTGCACATTTTTGTAGCAGGGTCCCAACGGGATTTAATACAAGGCAACGCCAACTATGTGAGTTGGAATTCCTGTAATTCCACAATCTATATTAAAAGCTCAACAGTCATCTTAGCTGATCTCTCCTTCTCTGCCTCCCTCCCTTCTCCCCCTTTCTATCTTTAGCCCCTGGGTTTTCCATTAAGTGTTTCCTCCCAGAAGTACCCCGTGTGTTCCAGTGGATGCCATGTGCCCAGTGGCAGCCTTCTCTGAGAGGGTCAGCCTTTGATGTCTTACACAGAGGCATCCCGTGTTGGGGACGTAGATGGCAACTCTGTCTGAAGTTTACAGCTTGGGTCAAAGTATAGCTAGTTTCTATGCAATAGCTTTCTTCCATCTCGCCTTCTTTCCCCAAATCCAGTTTTCTGGGGAAGTCCCGTTATTTTCTTTTTCGCGATGCAGTAGACAAACTAGGAACTTGGATGATGTGAATGAAGGTCATGTCCTCTAAATAACCAAGTCTTTCTGTGTGTGAATGTGTGTGTGTGCATCTTATTTTAATACCTGTTGAAAATTTTCTCCAGAAGAGGGCTCCATTCACAGCGTTACAAAATACCAATTCCACAGCTCATCTTTTAAAGAAGTTTAGTGCTGCAGCTCCATCAAAGCCAAACTACTCAGTGTTGTGAGTTATTTGCTACACACTCCCTGCTCCAATGAGACTGTTGCCTTCACACTAAGCATCTTTCTCTCCTTCTTCCTTCGCCTACCCGCCCTTCCTCCTGCTCCTCCTCCTCCTCTCTCTCTGGTCGTGGTTGGTTATGTCCTCTCTGTCTTCCGCTTGGTGCCCCTTTTGCATTCGAGAGCAGGCGCACGTCACAGACCTCTGTAGACAATGCGGCCTGGAGTGGAAGGAAGCCCTGGCTTTTCCTGCCATTGCTCTTTCCGCAGGACCTGGTTTCCTTCTCTCCACAGGAACAGCTCTGCCCGTGAAGGGAGGTCATCTTGCCCATTAGGGAACCCCTCAGAAGCACAAGTCATGAGGCACGTGGTCACCCCGACCCTCCAGCACCAGTTACCAAACAAAGGAAAGGGGCATAGCCTTGGGTCAGCCAGTTCCAATTAGCGAGGGCAGGCGAGATCAAATCAAGGGACCAGTGCTTTGGCAAATTCTTTCGATTCAGCTGTCCACATGGTACCTATATGTCTGGGAGAATCAGAGTTCCTTGAAGGATGCTGTCAATACAATTCCCCCTGCCCTCTTTCCCTCCCAGCTCCCGGCTGAGCAATTTGTACTGACGATGACCCGCCAGACTGTGAGGGCCCCCACTCCTTCACCAGGCACCCACTGGATTGATTTGGGGAGGAGGGTGAGAGAAGTAACCTTTCTCCACTGCAAGATTCAGCCAAGGGCAGGCCAGAGAGCAGGTAGAAGATCTGCCTTGTGTTGTGGACCAAGTCATTCCACAGGCGAAAACGGGCCACTTCCAGCTGAGCTGATTGGACCTCCAGCGGCTTGCTTGCCATCAATGAAGCCCGTGTGTCCCTACTCTGAAATTCTGGTTTCTGGAAAAGGTTGTATAGTAGCAGCCAGAGGCCAGATTTTGCCCATGGATCTATTCAGGTGGGCTCAAAGACTTTGAGGAGTGCGAAACTGAACATTAAAAAAAAAAAGAAGATGAAGAAGGAAGAAAAAATTATTGGTTCTTGCATGTCTTGAAACTAGCAGGCCCAGGAGCGCCACCCTCACTCCCATGTGGGTCTCTTAGCTGGATCCAAGAGACAAGGGCCTCCTTTTCAGGCCTCTGTAGTTTTCCCTGGTGACATAGTGGTGGTACACCAGACTCCTAACCTCAAGGTCAGCAGTTGCAACCACCAGCCCTTCTTTGGGAGAAAGATGAAGTTTTCTATTCCTGGGAAGAGTTACAGTCTTGGAAATTGAGTGGATGGCAGTGAGGTTTTGTTGTTGTCATTGTCGTCTTGATGGCAGTAGTTTGCCACCATCCTGACCACTCCATACTACTCACCCAGCCTGCTACACTCTTGTCTCTTTTCTT